ACATACATTCTTCATAAGCTTTTCATCATTATCTTAAGCAAATAGTACAGACTGTTGCAATGGAAGTATTAGCTTCATGCTTTATTTTTTTTCGGGTAATACTTGTAGTGTCGATATGCAAACCTGGTTTTTTGTCAATGCGAAGACAATATTTCCGCGTGTTCAACTTGTAAGTTTTCTGCATACTTATTCATCTGGGATGTTTCATCACACGAACATGCAGCACTTATATCTTCTTGTGACAATAGGTGGGGTTTGAGATTACATCCCATGAAGACATGCAATTTACATAGAAACTTATCCATACCTGTGAAAATGGTGTGTGCCTGTATTTTCAGGAATAAATATTACTGTTATCATTATCAAGGGCAGATAATAATAATAACGATAATCTCCGTAGACATCAACTTACTAAAGGTAGGTGATCAACTGTTTCAAATACCTTTGAAATGTCCAGATAACGTACAAGGACTGGTTGGTGTTGGTCGCACATAGTGGTTGTGAAGTTCAAGAAATCAAGATAGTAAGTCATACAGGACCTCGATTTTAGGAAACCATGTTGACTCGATGTGATGGTATGTCTACTAAGCATGCGCTGAAGAGCACCTTGCTCAACAACTTTCTCTACAATTCTAGAAACTAAGGGCGTGATATTTAATGGTCTGCAGTTACTGGCTAGTGTGTTTGAACCAGATTAATAACTAGGTAGGATAAATGGTGTTTTCCAGATATCAGGATATGTGAAAGATTCCGATGACAGAGAAAATAGTTTACGTAATGATAATGGAATATCGTGGTCACCAGACTTAAGAAATGTGATGATACCACGTCTGTGCCGGCGCTGGTGGAGCATTTCAGCGTCCTAATGGCTTGGTGTATGTGAATTCAACCGCATCTATTGTCCTTAGTGGAGAAGAATAGCCTTCAATCTTGCGGACAGTGTTAGTATCAAACGAAAAATTTGTAGGTTCCAGATAACTAACAGCTACGAAGTTTTTGAATATTTCACACATATCCACTGACTATTATAAGCTTTGGTGCCACGGATAAGAAGAGGAATGTCATGTCTTGCGCAATTCGATCGCTTCTTAAGTAGCGTTTAGAGAGCTAGCTAGTTCACGACTCTCTTCATTATTCAAGCGCAAATCATGGTTATGTTAGATGGAGTTAAGAATACCAAGAATCAGTCGAAGTGCATCGACGTCACGATGCCTGCAGCCTCTTGTTGAGAGTTTGCGTAACTTTCTACGAGCATTTGAAGGTATATATGGCTTATTGTTTAGTGGCATTTTTTGGAACCTTTCAATGTAACGATGGTATCAAGACAGGTTTTAGAGTTGTAGTGAAACATATCAATGGTTAATTTGAGGTTTGTAGTGGTGCAGAATGATCCCCAGTCAATGCACCTAATCGTTGGACACATCTGCTGCCAATCCGTTCTACTGCAGTCTCTATATACCATTCGATGAGGAGTGGGAGTATTAACTGAAGTCCTGGTTGAAGGAAGTGGTAGTGTTTATAACACCGTATTGCGATCACTTCCCGGGAACGTGCAGCCTACATTTGTCAGAATAGGATCTATGTTGTGGCAAAATATCGCGCCCACTACATTGTCACCTATTGTAGGAGTACTAACAATTTGCTTTCATCCGAAACCAGCCAGCGGATGGAAAAAGTCTTCATATCAGTAAATGAATCCTACTTAATTTCACTGCTTATGATCTTATGATCGTAAGGGAGAGTGGATGCGTGTCCCAGAGCCGTAGTCAGTGGAATCTCATCAGTGTTGAAAAAAACCAGGTGCTCTATAAACATATCCCACCGGTAATGTAACATTCTTGTAGTGTACTGTGACTCATAGAGAGTCACTTATATTATCAGGAACCGTACTTTGCAATCTGAATACTGCGGAAGTGCTCAGGAAGCACATCAGACAACTTCCTGCTTTCTTGCTACTCCGGTCACATAGGAATTGTGTGTACATATCAATACTTATCTCTTCATCCGGTATATTTGCGTGATACCAGGACTCAGTGATAATTATTACAGGCTGCTTAAGTAAGAGCGCTACCCCTCTTAGTCCCGGTTGTTTGCTTGGGACAGACCTTGCGTTTATGAGAACGATGAACGAGAAAAGTAATGATGTATGGAGCTTTCTAATTCGCTAAACAAACAAAATGAGTATCTCAGTGTCGCCTGACTGAGTACAACCCGGCATCGTTGCGCCACAAAACGTCTCAACACCTTGCTCACTCGTAGTTGTATGGTTACTAGGATATCCTAATGGTAAATCGACGGCATAGTGACTTGAAGCAGTATCGCCCTTAATGGGGGAGAACGGAGTAGTGTTTTCACTCAAGGTGTGCAGTGTGCACATCGTATCCAAATAAACCGAGTTTGACCTCATGTAAGCGTGGTCTCAAACATCTGTGTTTGTTTTTCGGAGGGTAGGTGGTCTAACTAGTGTACATGATGGTGTGCAGGGCTGGTGATACCGCTTGCAGGATCCAATAGACCTGCTTTGTTTTCTAATCTGTCGATGCCATTTGGGTAGTTGGCGTCTAGGATTTGTGAGTATGGTTGGCTGTTTTTTCCGTTGCTCCAAGGGTGCTAAGATTAGCGGTTCAGAGCAAGGGGCTCCAACATCCCCATCAGTTGTTTGGAAAAAGCCACAGCTGATAGGGGTGTAATGGATAAAAAGTCATCGTGTTTTGCTGTCCACGTGAACCTCTGTTCTGCCTTTTATTCCTCATCAGTGACCACCCTCCGTCACAAGTCACACCAGACATAACTGGGGTTATGTTGGGTTGGGGGCTGTTTCCTGATATGCTAGTGCCACGCAGGTGGTCAAAGGCTTCCCTAGCAACGTACGTTGCTGAATTTCTGTTGTAGTGGTTTGATGTTGGCTCTTCTCGTTAGTAGACTATGAGGTTGGGCTGCCGTGATGTCTTTTTACGTTCTCGTTACTGGTGGGACGTAGCTCAGCGTACGAAGCCTTTTTGGTGAAGCTACTGTTCTTACTTCTGTCGATTCCAGAAGGGATTTCAGGATCATTTTGGATCATTGTATGCCTTTTGCGTCCGCCTCTGCGTGTTGGGTTCCATGAGAGCATTCGTTTATCGGTTGCATATCAAGCGGCTGATATCCTAGTTCCTCGGCCGGTGTGAGCTGCGGTCTTGAGGTATCCGGAACACCTCAATGAAAGTTCCGTGACGCTTAGCGCAGTGTCAGGTTTTATTTTGGGGCTTTCTGTGGATGCGTCTAGACATACAGCTTTAGGTGGTTGAGTCAAATCACGCACTTCGCGGTCTTCCGTCTCCACGTGGGTCGACGTCATTTTCCGTATATTTGACTTGGCCGGGTTTAGGGAAGAAAAGTCTTAGGCTTGGGTTTGTTGAGGGAGATACACACTGGTTTAGTGTGTTGTAGGTTTGAAGCCCTTTGACTGTCTGGTCCACTTGCAGAGTTGTATACCTGCCTTTCCACCACTGTATTATCAAGAACTATCTCTGTCCCTGTAAAGACGTTGTTCGGTAAGACCGATTCCGCTCTGGTGAATGTTTCGCTTCCATCTGTGATTTTAAACTGAGAGCGTATAGGATGGCGACTGTCCTGCTGGCTCCTTTTCGGCTGAAAATATTTTGTATTTTCGCTGTTCTAAGAAAGATTTCTCGTACGGCCTTCAGCTTTGTCGCGTCAGTGATGTTAAAAACCATTGGGTTCAGCTTAGGTGCATGTCTTTTACCAACTTCGGTGGTGGTAAAGTTTACCAGGTGATCTACTTTCGTTGGTGTTTCGATGGCAATCTCATTAATGGGTTCATTACGCCTCAATATGCTCAGTGGCAGGAGATTGCTAATCTGAACTCTAATAGCTTACAGACTGCCACATGTAGTTTGTCATGCACTTCCTCTTGTTGTGGCAATCCTTGAGGTAACCTAAAAAGAATTGACCACTGAAAAGTAAAAACCTGTATACGTTCACGCTTTCCTAGTCTGTGAGTTTTGGACCACCTTTATGCATTATCTGCCGAGATGGTCGCCTCTCCATCTGTCAAGAGCTTCAAGAAGAGGTTGGACAGCCGCACAGGAACACACGGTTTCTGTTTATCCGGCTAGGAAGTGGAGTAGGTTGACAAAACCGACCAAATACGCACACCGCAGGACAGCCAATCCTATTTCGAGTCTTTTGTACCACCTCCGATATCGCAAAGCTGACTCAACCTTATATTTTCCTTCTAGACGTCTTCTTCGGTTAACATCCCTCACTACTTCTATTCCCATAACTCGTCATGTAACATTACTTGCTTCTTCTCTTCTCTCTGACCAAACGATGTGACACTATCCATTAGGGTTCTCTTAATCCCTTATCTCATGTGAATCTACCTTGGTTTCCCCTTCCATTCCTCATCCTTTCACTTTGATTTTCTTTCCACTTCCTCTGCCTAGATTTCTCTGGACACACTTCTTACCTTCTTTTTAAAACTGGTTCAGTTAACTGCTTGTTGACACGACACTTGAGGAACCCGTCCGCTCCACAGCCCCTGGAAAAGGGGTACAGCCCCTACAAATTCAATCAACATTCAACAGCCCGTTAGGCTAACCGGAGCTACATCAGGCAAGAGGGTAGACCTATTGCATCGCAATCCACTAAAGACCTGGAACCACTTCAAAAAACTTATAAGCGAGCTTGAAGAAATAGCATGGTTCGCACTAGCTAGCAAAAGTCCTTTGGATGTTGGAATTATTATATAATGCAGGCCCGCTTTGTTTTCTCCCGAACTTTGAAGAGAACCAAAGGAAGATGAAAATGTGCATATAAAATAGAATTGTAGCGTTAGAGAAGCTAAACTCAAGGAGATTTCAGTTCCTTACGTACGCTGCATCAAGATTTGTAGTTTGAAGGTTGAAGGAACTAGACGCGAGAGATCAAAAACTACCGGTCTTCTTCGATCGCACTATCAATATTGGATATTGGAAGGCTATGAGGCGGTATTTGCTATGGGTGGTTGTACGAACAAGGAGTTGCTTTCTCAAATATTTTCGGTTCCTTTCCCATTCTTTGTGATAACTGGTGTATCACTGCCACTTTTTGGGTTAATTATATGCTTCGTAATTTCAGTGTATATGAATTTTGGTGAGGTTACAGAATCCGTTTGTGGGGTAATTATGACACTTGCGTTAATTGTACAGGTATCCAATTTTGTTCCATCTATCAGTGCGGTCACTGGGATTACACCTCAGATATATTTCTGGCGGTACATGATTGGACTGCACAGTGCGCCGCGCTTACTACTTGCGTTGATTTACCTTCGGTACCATATGGCTTTTCATAAATTGTTCAACTTACCGTTGCGTTTTAAAATATTAGTACAAACGGCTTTCTTCGTGAACTTGATGGATGTGATAGCATTCGTGGGAGTTGCTTTCATATCAAACCGGGAGAACTATCGTATGTTGAAGATAAGTGTATAACAGTTTTGTAGCTGTCCATGAAAGATTGTTCATTGTTTTCTTGTTCGCATCAACTGCGTATATGATAGTAACATTAGTACTTCATTGGATAATAGGAATGACGACGTATGATCCAAGGGTAACATTTCATTGTTACCAGTAATGCTTTTAGTTCAAACATTCTTTCAACATAAAGTCCTTGTTTTTTGGACTTAATGTTTCGTTGATTTTGTTGCTACTCCGGCAGTTTTACAATCATCGATTCAATTGTAAAGCAAATGGTAGGTTGTTTCTCCGCTATGTTTGCAAGTTTTGATTATATTCTCAATAATAGTAATAGTGGTAACAATAATAATGCAACCAAAACACGGTACGCTTTTATGTAGTTATGAGCCACACTGATAATGACGGCAGATATTACCTCATAGTTTCTCAGGTTGAAGTAGGTGGATAGGTGTTTAAACTCAGGACTCATCGCGTAGATAATTAGTTTATATATAGTAATTCAAGTAGCGGAGCAAATTAATTTCACTTCAGGAGTCTTCTAGGCCAAAATTGGGTTGGTTCGTGAAATTTCAGCCCAGATGCATAACATAGGTTGAGCAGTTGCCAAATCACACCACTTTTGTGACCACAGTTCGCTCCGTGTTGTTTACGGCTGAAATGGTTATAGAAAGTAGTTTCGTATAAAATTCATGTGTCTGATCACAGGTGTCGTTGTAGCAGTGCTTGTATCTAGTAGGATCGTTATGTAAGCAGTTTTTTCGAGGTTAGATTCAAAGTACTAGACAAAGAAAGCAGTTCAGCTGATGGGGTTGTGAACCGTCACTAACCGAGGTAACCTGGATGTATTTTGGGCCTATTGAGGGGCGTAATTCAATGCGTTTTATCAGTCAGTAATGTTTGACTGATAGGAAAGCAAGGGAGGCCAGGCCAGTACATGTCACCAATTAAAGAAGTCTCTAACTGTTGCCCTGAGCTGTGTTAGGAGGTGTAAGCTGCTGGGATCCTCGCTATTTTGGATATCAATAGTTAGAGGCTGGTGTTACTGAAAATAGGTAACTAAGGGGCAGATGCACACACTATCTTTGAAGTCTTGATTATTTTCAGCAGCATTCATCATTGTTTTTCCATACTTTGTAAAAAATCAAACTTTATGTCATCTACGCTCCTTTTTTTGCAAGCTGCTGAGAAGTGTGGCAGCTTAAACCAACGCACTTGCGCCAGGTTCTGCGTTGATCTGTTTGTCTATTTTACGCATGCAGGTTTGGTTAGCTTTTGCTAAATTCCGCGATTAGGTGCAAGAAACTTATCTACCAAGGATCGAGCGTTCTGTACAGGAGCTTGCTTTGTCATTTTCTGTAACTGTCGACATGGGCCTTGAAGATAGACAGTATCGACGACCCAGCGTTCGACAACCTTTGCCTTCATAGTGTAAGCTGTTTATCGTGACACCACAATAATGCAGAAGTTAGGTACAACGTTGTAGGGAGGAGAGGAAAGTCACTTGGGGAAATTGTGAGCATTCATCCACTTGGATGGCTATGACATGCGTTATGCAAGCCTGGTCACCGTCTATGATGTTGTACGTTAGGTGATTAGGTTTAGGTTGAGCAAATGTTAAAACCGGCCAGACTGACAATGCATCAGTACAGGAGGCCTTCGGCTGTCGGTCTGAGCTGTGTAGGGAAATTAAGGTTTCATGGACTAAATATTTGTGATAATCGAGGTTGACGATTAGAAACTAGATTATGTGACTCAGAATCGATTTCAGCGGCACAGACGCTCACAAACCTTAACGTATTCATCATAACCCATTTCGTGAACATAGGTTACTCAGACAATACTTGTTAGATGAAGACTGTGACAGTATTCAGGATCTTCTAAACTATAGTCAAAAATGTGTAGTTTAGATGGTGTTTCATATGTGTTAAGCTAGACAGCTGATTCAACTAAAAGATCATGACTTAGTACTCCTCTCCGCTTATCTAGGTTTGAGCAAAAGGTTGCTATTGTAATTCCTCACGCAATGCGTTTGACTCATTTCTTAGTGCATGGGCCTGCGTATTTTCACTTTTACAGTTAGTTACAGTATGTTTAGAGTAAAATAAAACCTTATGGCTTCTTTGCATAGTTCAAGGATAAAGCTGATAACTGTAGGTATCCAATTATTAATCTTTTGGTAACTAGTCAAAATCCACCCAATTTTGAACAATTGGGCAGTATCGAAAGCAATTACGTTTTATCGATTCATTCAAGACACAAATTTGGTAACCTTTTTGTATACTTCGTTTTTCATGCTGGTTCATAATTTATTTGATCCGTGTTACTGACGGTATGCGCAAACCGAAGTAGGTGGTTGGCTGAAGTGACATTTTCAGAGTTTTTGACTTCAAGTTTGGTCCATAAGGCAGCAGAGTAACGTAAAGTGCTGTATTCTCATGTTTACCGGTGATCAAGGTTAGTTCATACACCATCCGTTGTGGGTCGTGGAAGCAATATCTACCACTGGTTAAGAATCAGGGTTTTCCAATTCCTCTAGGTATGTCTTTCGTGTGTACCAACCAAATTAACGCCATACATCCGCTTTCGTTACCTTACTCATGTGGAAACACATGCTACACAAAGACAGTGAGTAGAACTTCCTTGGCAGAGTCTATGAACGCGTGGCTATGTTAAAACATGTTGACAGGATAACCACCGTTAGTTATATCACGATATCCAGGGGGCTAATTTAGTATATGAGCATTACGAAATGCACGGTACAAGATAATGTAGCATCATTAAGATATGACCCGACCGATAGCTACTACCTTGACGTGGTGGTCGGGCTTGCTTATCACAATGACTCGACGAGCTATGCTGGTGGAACACTTGTTCCCTCGAGGTCCTACCATGCCAGCAGAATCTGTTGGATAGTGGTTAGACGAAAAGCAGTTGCCGCTGCGGTGTAAATTACTACACTATGATGGGGTCTTAGGGCGAAGTCGTACTGCTGTTAGCTGGATGGGGTGTGACAGTAGTAAGGTGTTTTCCTTGAATGACCGTCAGTGCCATGCTGATGCTAGCTTCTCAGTGGAAGGTGGGGGGTAGAGGTCGGCCCCCAAAATAACACACTCCACCATGCCCCACAGTCTGCCGGGCTGGCAGTGTTGGTTCATTTGTCGTTTCCTTTCCACCATCCAGCCCCAAAAACACAAAAATTCAAAATAATCATACTCCAGAGGCTACTTGTGACAGGCCTCGAACGGATGTCCGATGGGCTCTGTGGTCACACAAATCTCTTTCAGGTATCTTAAGAAGAAATAGCCTTCCACGGTGTGGGCAGCCAGGAAGTGTCAATCGCCCTCACAGCTCTGTCAGCACTCAAGTTTCCTCAGAATGCTATCTACCTCCCTCATCATTACCTTCTAATCTTCCTTCACGTTTCTCAACTAACGATACCACATCGTCTTCAATTTCTCTTAGCTCTGTAGCCTTCAACAACGATCTGAGTTCACAAAACGGCATCCTTGGTCTCTTTAAACCACGCTCCAAATTACATGTTGGAGCCTTCAATATCCACACCCTCCGTCAAATTGGTCAACATGCTTCATTGGCCAAGACTAGCAACTCGGGGCATGGATGTGTGCTGTGTTTGTGAGACACGCATACAGGACCCAAGTGCGGTTATTCACCCGATCTCTCCCGACCAATTTGGTGAATCTGCAACATTCACCCTTCGAGTTTCTGGAGATTGGATAGCTAGTTCTCGTGGTCTTGCAGGTGTAGGCATAGCATTAAGCACATGGGCAGAAAACTCACTACTAGACTGGATCCCAGTTGATAGTCGCTTCCACGCTATCCGAATGAACGGCTCAGTGAGAACTAAAAGGACGAGTGAGACTCGCCGTTGTCTCTTTGTAATCTCTGCTTACGCACCCACTGACTGCAGCTCGGATGAAGTGAAGGACAAGTTCTACCGTAAACTGTCTAGCCTCCTCTTGAAAGCCAAATGTTAGGGCTTAGTGGTTGTTGCAGGTGACTTCACTGCATAGGTGGGTAGACTGAGTGAGGCAGAAAGGCACTTAGGTGGCACTTTTGGAATCCTGGCTGAACGCGCAGATAACAGGGACTGCCTACTACAACTATGCTGAGATAACCGTCTATTTTTAGCCAGCACAAATTTCAAACGTAAGGAAAGACACTGTCTGGTGTGGCGTCCACCAAGCTCACCTCAGTGATGGACACAGACCACATTGCTATTGGTCATCGCTGGAGAGGATCGGTGGAAGACTGCTGCTCCTTCTGGAGTACGTGGTTGGATAGCAACCACGCGTTGGTCCGAGCGTGTATATGCCTGCGTTTCAATGGACGTAAGAAAAATTTGGCGACAAGACGACTACGAGTGCTGCTGGACAACAAAAACACCAAAGTTGTGTTCAGTGAGTTGGCTGGGCAGTTATGTGAACAGAAGACTATCACTCATCCTGAAGAAGCTTGGTGCCATCTTCAGTCTGCTGTAGAAGCAGCGCTGAATATCGTAGCCGGCACCGAAAGTTACAAAAAAGAGCCGGTGGATATCAGCAACTTCTTCGGAACTAGTGGATGCACGTGAACGCATCCTTGTCTGCGGGCTCTGAGTACAATGAAGAGCGAGAACAAGTTATAGGTAGATTGAGAAAACGTCTACGCGACGACCGCGAACAGTGGTGGGCAGTGAAGGCTAAAGAGATGGAGAAGGCAGCGGCGATTGTCAACAGTAAACAGTTATTTACATTTGTTAAAGAGACCGGAGGAAATAGTTAACAACGGCCAGTGAAACCATGGCAAAGAAGAAGGGATCTGCGATTCACTTGCAGGAGAGACGACTGGAACGATGGGCAGAAAACTTCGAGGAACAGTTGAACTGGCCTCCAGCCACCATTGCGTTGTATGCTGTCCAGTCGGATCCTGAATGGAACGTTGAGATAGACTTCTCAGCACTGGGAGAAGTCAAGAAAGCTGTAGGCAACCTGGGATGAGGAAGGGCGGCTGGACCAGATGGACTAACTCCAAAGGTGTATAAGGATGGTGGTAAGGTAGGTATTCTTAGTCAGGTTAACGGGAGTGTTAATCAGTATATGGGAATCAAATACGATCCCCTCTGACTGGCCTAAATCACTGGTAATTCCGGTCTTCAAGAAAGGCGGGAAGTCCTCTTGTGATAACCGCAGAGTAACCAGCGTGATGAACATAGTGTCCAAGATCCTAGGTTCTATACTTCTCCGAAGTCCGAGTGGAGCTCGGGAACGGCAAGCCCGCGAAAACCAGCCAGGCTTTAGACTCGCTTGCGAGTGTACCGACCAAATATTCACACTGCACCAGATTCTGCAACACAGGCCCGCTCATCACCGCCCGACACCGGCTGTATATCCCGACCTGAAGGTGGCATTCGACTCCGTTGACCGAGAGGTTTCGTGGCAATGTCTCGCACTGAACGGCGTGTCGAGTAAGTACATCACCTCATTGAAGGCTGTCTACTCGAACACTTGTGGTTGTGTTAGAGCCTATGGTGAGATATCCAGGGAGCTGTGCTCCTCGAGTGGTGTCCATCAAGGGTGCCCACTGTCTCCATTTGTATTCAACTTTATCGTAGATATTCTTATGGAGGTTTCCCTCTCGTCATCTGACTACACAGAGGTTGACATATTGCGGGAGAACTTTCCGTAGATGTAGAATATGCAGATGACATAGTCTTGTTAGGTGAGGACGCTGACAAGATGCAGAGTCTACTGAACACTTTGAGTAGCAATTTGAGAATGTTTGGGGTGCGTTTCTCACGACCCAAATGCAAATTTTTGCTTTGCCTTTGTAGTATAGGCCGTATTCCGTGGTGTCGCAACGTGAGTAATGCAGAAGCTAGGTGCAGAGTTTTGGGGAGTAGAGGTAAATCAGTTGATGAGGTTATGAACCTTCATCGACTGAGATGGTTGGGACACGTACTATGTATGCCTAGTCGTCGATTGCCTCATCACACAATGTTGGCCGAAGTAGGTCCAGGTCGGAAAAAGGCCCGATGTGGCCAGACTAAAACATGGCACCAACGCTTGAAGTCTCTGACTGTTGGTTTAAGCCATGTGAGGCGATGCAGACTAGTCAGTTGGGGTCGGCGGGACAAAGGAACCAGCGGCTGGAGACTGTAAGGGATATGGTTCAGAACCGATGTCAGTGGCGCAGATGTATACACACACTATACTCAACGACGCTATACCGAATCTCACCATTTTCTCAGTATTCCTTTCTCTCTTCTCATACTTTATATCTCTTTTGACTGAATTTTCTTATCTTCATCTTTAACCTCACTACCTTTCTACTTGATGTACTGGTATGAGGTGTGGCAACTCGGACCGTTACGCAGTAATGCCTGGTCCTATGTTGATATTCATGGTGATGATGACTAAGATATGAAGGTGACGTAGGCGGAGGGAAAGAAAAAAGAAACTGATGCAAAAGTGGAAGTTTTTTTTTTTAAAGGAGCCATCTCAGGCGTAAATCTAAAAAATCATTCCCTACTTTCGTTTTACTTTTTGATAACAGAGGAAACAAGAAAGCTGAATCATGATCGCTGTCGCTTTGCATTGAGCCATAGGATTGTATGAACTCTAGAATCCCACCCAGAGAGTTGTAAGGTACCGACTGATCCTAACTTATACAACCATCCTTCACTCCATGGTGCTACGTCATAAATTGGCTCTCTTCGCTTTTTCCAACCGGTATTACAGCAAGCAAACAGTACGGAGTTCGTAAGCCGGTAGGACGATATGCGTAACGCGCGTCTCAGCTACGAAAGGTAGTGTTTATAGATAACTTGCTTCATCGATGCTATCTATATCGTACCCAAAAGCATATCACTGCCCATCAAAATTACGTGCCTAGTGTTTTCACCATCTACCAAGAATCCTAAGGAGATAGCAGTGATAAAACACCTGTTGATCATCGGTTGGGAACGGCCAGGTTTCATGGATGTGGAGCAGAACTGCTTGCACCGATGCGTTGTAAATCTTATCTTTTTTAGCAAGGTTAACGTCGTGATGACATCAAGAGTAACCCAGATTGGCGTAGGCTGCCCTGGCTTTCGATGTACGACCAGAAGTCTTGTCAATCACACGTCGACCAGCACTCATACAACTACCCGGATACACAAATTTTTCTAATAATTTAAACGGTTCACAGCTAAGCGTTAGTACCACTTGTAAAAGTAATTTGTGCTTCATCAACATTGCAAATTACATACCTTATTTGAACACATTAATCGCCAACCGATGAGGTGCAATTTAGTTGATCTTTATGTTGTCGCGTGCTAAGGCGATATCTTTCTCATGCTTAAAGTGAAAAAGCCTTTCATCTAGCAACAGATCTACTTCACCACCACGCACCTCCTTCACACCTGTCTAGAGTAAACCACTGATTGCAATATCAAAGAGAAATGGTGAAGTGAGACAGCTTTTAAAGTTGTGTTATGTGCTTTCAAGCTTGGCTGCAACTAAGTTTCTGTAGGTTCCTTGTTCCTGCCATGTTCTTGTGTTCTGTTTAGGTTACAGATGTTAATTGACTCCTATGACCTGTACTTAACATTTTACTCATGTCATGAAGCTTTTATCATAAGCTGAGCAAGATCTTTTAGCCAACAAAACGATTTTACAGCATAATAAGAGAAAAAATCACTAAAAAGCAGTCTTTTCTAGAATCTTGGGGGACGCGAGATTTTCAGTCATCCTTTCCTGATATAATCAAGACTATCTTTACCAAAATTACCTGTTTTAGAGGCATGAAATGAGTGTTACTGAGTTGTTATGGGCGGAGTGGTTGGTAAAAGATGTATCAGTCGACGAAGTTCATAATCAATAGTAACCTGAATGGTTTGATTGTTACACTTTTCACCTATCCCATGGTGCTATGTTTTATGTGAAGTAGGATTGGGAATCATTTGGATTCACTTCTTGACTTTCATCCAATGGGTTGGGCTATCTTAAGTTCAAGTCTCAATGTTATGAACAAGTTATCAGGATCTGCAAAGTTGGAAGAATTGACCAAGAGACCTAAAGGAAAATTAGAAGGTAAATATGTGGAAGACTGACAGTGATCTGAAGGAACTTGAGTGCTGACAGAATTGTGAGGGCAGTTGACACTTCCCGACAGCCTAACTTTGGAAAGTTACTTTTTATGGTATTTCAAAAAGAAGTTAGGTTATTAATAAAGGTACATGTCCGCAGAGCCCAAAAATGGAGTTTTGAGGTGTAAATTAGTCTTCTACGAATCCTACTATAAGCTTATGCCATGGGCACCGAAAGGCTAGTGGGAAGTTTGCTGATTTTGGGACCGACCTTTTCTAACCCTGTTCATGGGAGGTACTGCCGATCATCCACGGGAATCATCTTACTTCTGTGGTACCCCAGCTGGTTAGCAGTGTGACTTTGCCTTCAGATCCAGATCATAGCTTATTACATTACACTATGACAATAAATGCTTTTTGTCTTACCACCGTCCGACGGAAGTTCTTTGTGTGGTGAGACCTCAGACGGATCAGTATTTTAGTAGTGTGGCTCGTTGGGTCATTGTGATATGCAAACTCGACCATCGCGTCAGGTTGGGAAGGGTTAGAGTGGGTTGGAGTTAGTTCTAAAAACTGGGTGTGCAAAAATGTTTAGCTATTCTTTGAGGATGAAAAAAGTAACGTGATCAAAAGCTGAAGAAAATTTAAAGGTACGTTATTGAATTTCTATGCCACTAAGCATCATAAAGTGTTTTTTCTTTTTCTTCGTTGTTGTGGCCGTAACAATTTTTCTGTAAGTTCTATGAAATATATGTAGATAATACTCTGCTGAGAGAATGAACCTGTCAATTGACGAGTTTTTAGTTCATAAAACTTTCAAACAGATTAACTGAATTACCTTAAAAGGTCATAAGTATTCTTTCTCAAAGCGTATTAAATGTTTCTTTGAGGGTAAAAAGTGAAGTAAGTTTGTGTCCGCTCCTAATTCTATGCTATTACAACACTTTCAACACTGAAAAAATACCGTTTTATTTACGTATTGTAGTTTAATTTCTTCCTACTGGCTATTTATTCGTGGATATTTAATTTAGTTTAATTGACTAACTAACAACAGTCATTATAATTTAATTATTTGTCTGCTTAAGCATTTAGTTGGTTCTCTGCCAGTGAATATGGTATTGCAATCGCCAATATGGGGTTTCATCTCACTGCTGCGTACGACTTCCAGGACTTGATTTTAACTACTGATACTAGCGGACCCTGTAGTGAATAAAGTTTCAACTTGCTTTGGACATATTTGGTCTCCTTACAACTAGCTTCATATTTGTAACGAAGCTAACCATTGATGTCTACTCTTATGTTTCTGTCTTTATCTTAGGTTTCGGATTTTAAAGTGTACGATTCTCCTTTTTACTTTGCCCTGTCAGTTACATGTATATTCGTTGTGAAAGTGTGTCTCACTTTTGATACTTGTTTTATACTTTTTGTTTCATATTATTTGAAGTTTTTCCAGTCAGTAGTTTTCCCTGTAACACAAATGTTTCCAATTTCGAGCGTCGTACTTTTTTGCTGCCATTTTTTTAAAGACTGCAATTATTTGACTATTTCTTGAGTTTGTACTAGATTATTGTAAATTGATATTATGAATGATTTTTCTTGCTAGTCCTGGATGATAGCTAGCTCACACTTTAACAAATAAACAGCTGATGAAACTCCTTTTTTTTCTTATTTTGTTTCATGTTACATGATACTCAACTGTACATTCTTTGCAGACTAGATGGTTAATTTGCCTCCAAGACACGAAGAAAAGCTTGCAATTGAAAAGTAAGTGTACACTGATATACTGAAATCAGTTTTCATAATGTACAGTCTAGTGATTACCAAAATTTATGGGTTAGGGGTTGCCATATCATTTCTGCGGACTGGTGTTTATTCACTCAGTTATGTAGGTATTCTAGACTGTTGTATTTCATGAACCTAACCAACAGTGTAATATTTATTAGTTAAAGCTGCTCACCATTACACATAGTATTTAGAGTGTTATTTGTTGAAGGATATCTTTAGAATACTGCCTGTCATTCTAAGTAACTTTATTAGACTTATTGTACCTGATATTTTAACTGAATACCAACCCAATATTTTAGAGCCTGCTGTCGACCCACTGAATGTTGTCGAAGAATGTTGGCTGTGCTTGAACTGTGACGCAAAAATGCTTAGTCGTCACCAACAAGTCGAATGGTTTTTGGTGAAAGGGGGGGGGCACTCAAACTAGCCATTTTTAGTCGCACTTCATCCCACCATGATGCCAGTCTGACTGTAAAGTCGGACGGAAAGTCCTACTCTATGTTTACGAAATCAAACCTTCCAGGTGAGGATATCTAACGACTTTGTGTTCATCTATCGTTGTATTCATATAATTGCTCGCATCCGACAAAACTAAGTGATGAATTTGAGGTTCATTCTCTTGTTTTGGTGTTTTGGCTATTGTCCCTTGTCTGTTGAATATTGTGATTGACCACATTATTTATATTATTATTTATTTATTAGTCCCTTGGGTTCCTAGTGGAACATAGGGCTTCGGTAGCACGTCTCCAGTGACCTCTGTTCTCTGAGATCTTTTGAACCTGGTTCCACGACAGCCCAGAAGCTCTCATTCCCTCCTCGCACGATCTCCTCCATGTCACCCTCAGCTGGGAGGCCCAACTCGTCGCTTCCCATGGGGATTCCACTCGAGCAACTGGCCTGACGTGTGATGTCCCCAGTCAGCCTTCTCAGTGCATGCCCAATCCATCTCCACTTCCTCCTGCATATTTGTTGCATGATAGGTTCTTGGTTGGTTCGTTCCCAGAGCTCCTTGTTGCTTATTCTTTCTGGCCATCTGATCTTCATTAGTGAGCGTAAGCAGTTGTTGATGAATGTCTGTAGTTTGTTGGAAATGCCTTTCGTAACGTGCCAAGTATCTGAGCCATACAGAAGAAGTGACTTGACGTTGGTGTTGAAAATCCGTATCTTGTTCCGCATGCTGAGTGCAGAAGATCTCCACACTGGTTTCAGGCTAATGAACGCCTGTCTTGCTGTCTTTCCGATCCTGGCTGGCTTTGACATCCTCGTCTGTGCCTGTGTCGCCTGTAGTTGAAACAGTGTGGCCTAGATAGGTGAAGGAGGTTACTTCCTTTAAGTTTCTCTCGTTGGTGGTGACTGGAGTTTGTTGTTGTTGTTGGTGCGGTATCTTCATCACCTCTGTCTTCTCTATATTAACTTGACCATGGTTACTTGAAAATGTTACAGATGTCATCTCATGAGTACCTATGCCCCCCACTGTTTGTTGCTACTAGTCAGAAGAAGAGAAGGAATATGCCGATAGAATAGGATGGGGATTATAGTGTTTCGATAGCATCTTTTCTGGTTCACAACTCGCTGGATGGCATCTTAGAGACAAGGCAATGCAATAGAACAAAATACCAACAGATTAGACCCAGAATCGAAACCGAATGACACTTATACTACAGCGTTATTGTTTGTTTTGTATTTGGTTGACTTCAGCATTTAGCATTCAAGTAATGGGTTCCTGATTGATATCTCACTCCACCTACTTCTGTCAGGGCAGCCAGGTAATGACACTAGCCGTCACATAGAGCGTGGTTCAGAGCCAATTACATAAAAGCGTACCTATTTGAGCTGCAGTCGTTCGATGATTAGCTTTCTGTTATCGTAAAGTAAGATTCAAGCAATGAATCCTTTTTTAATGTATCTTATTGAATTACTTCTTTGTTCATTCTGATTTTCTTGCCCTCCTTTCGTATATCCTGTATTTCTTCATTATGTCAAATCATTTTTTGGTGCTTTTCTTGTTGTCGGCCTGTCTTATAAGCAGCTCGATGTTTTCCAAATGAATGAAAAGCAGTTTGTGAAAACTTTCAGCTATCTAACTGCAAACATTTTGTTATCAGTAAGAGACGATCTGTGGAGTAGGTGGTATAGTTTTCACAAACTTTCAAAAACATAAACTCTAGGTGGAGCAAAAAACAACAAAATCTCAACGACTACGCGCATGCGATGGGCGCATGTATATACTTCGATTTGAACTTGGTGTAAGGACTTACCATGTCTCAGCTCTAGGCAGGTGTAAAATTAGTTAAATATCTGAATCATTGAATCATATTTGAATAACTTTGTTAAACTGTTGTGATTTTATATATATGCGGTTGTACGTAGTTTTAGCATGTGACCACTAATGTGCTTATTTTAAATAATTTTCCCTACAGATGCTTACGGTCGTTCATAATTAAGTCAATACACGCCATCGTACAAGCTCGAAATGGAATTGTTTGCAACACGAATTGTGTATCTGAAGTTGGGGCCAGGAATAACATGGTAAGTTGTAACTGCCTTTCCTGATGACGATGTTTTTGATGTTAAGTTAACTGAGCAAACTATTATAAATGTTCAGACCTTGGTAGGTGGGGCAGGGTTCAAACTCATCTTTCGCTGGTCGAAAATCGACTTCTTTAGCCAATAAACAACGGCTTCACTCGGATTATACATTTTTCGATGAGTACTACACTTTGTTGGCAAGTGTTGCACTGAGGTAAACATAATTTTTTCATTAAAGAATACCGGCTAAAGCACACTTAATTTAGACGTAATATCTAGAGCTTCATTGATTCACCGGTAAGGTAAAAAACGGAACACACTCAGGTACCTTGTCCACATCGGTGCAGTAGGCAATGAGCCAAGCCTATTGTGTGAGGGCTGTTGATACTACTTGGCTACCCAAACCTCAGTAGGTGAAGCGGGGTTCGAACCCGTGACCTACTGATTGATAGCTATCGCCCTAAAACACTGAGCCACAGCTCCACTTATCGTTAAGATGGGTAACTTAGTGTTATGATTCGGCGACTATAGTAGTAAATGAAGACGGTTTACCAGTTACCCGATAGGAAGTTATCATGAATTATTTGTATTTTACTTATTGGTTATTTTCCACTCTCTATTTGGAGCAGTATACTACCTCGTGCAGTTATGCTTTAGTCTGTAAATTGTAAAACGGGACAGCGAAGAGGTCTAAGCCATCCTAACGGGGGATTTCAATTTTGGCTGCTTTAACGGTATCTCAAACTACCACTTTCTACTGTCCTTTAAGCTACAACAGGAAATCTGTTAATTACGCAGCTTTGATCCATAATTAGTGACTATTTGTATTGGCAAGGCATTTTCGTGGGCATTTTGGCGCCTTCACAACCTCTACCCCACTTGGAAAAATATAGGCGCGATTTAAAGAATACCCGAATGTGTAATATGTCTCTACCTTCGCACTCAGTTATGATTCACAACGTAGTTTGACTCTTCCCTTACCTAGAACTAAGATATTTCTCACTCCATTGTTCCATTACGAAAACGATGGTGGTCATACATGTGCTCTTTTCATATCATTTACCTTAGGAGCCTGTATTTCTGGTACACAAATATATAGTATTTGGTTTTCATTTTACTTTTAGTGAACTTTGGTTTAAACATAAGCATTCAATTGGCTCTAGTGCCTTGCTGTTTCAGACCGCAAGTATACACAATTCTTTTTATTATTTCGTTCAATGATCTTTGTTATAATTTCAATTGTCACTTTACTGATATATTCAGATGGTGTATGTGGAAGAAGATCCTGAGATCGGAGCAACAATAAAGCAAACACTGGATGCTAATTTTCCTGTTCATGTACAAGATCTCCTCAGTCTAGAAATATTAGCTCATTGGCCTAAAGAGCCACAAATGTTAATGGTTGTAGAAGTATGGCAGTTCCGATTAGATATCGTGGAAAGGCTTGAAAGTTGTAATACTACGCCACAATCTACTGTTAACTACAGTTCAGCGATCAACAATAATACTGGTAATACTAATTTACCCTACACTTCGGCATCAGAAAATTGTGGAGACGGCTCACAGTCAACTGAATATGCCGTAGATGATTTTAGGCATCTACGTTTATTTGAAAAATTGGGCACCCTGTTAAAATCGATCATGGTTGTTACACGCTTACTGCCTGGTAATTACTACTTTTTTGGTTTCCGATTCATAGTCATTTGCTTCAGTGTGTGTTAGTCTTTTAATCAAGACCGTAGTGAAACCCTTGTACCCATCTCTTAGTTACTGAAGTTTCCAAAATTTTTATTCGAATAGTAATTCGTTAGTACACCCTATCTATGTAAATCTGTATATACGAAGTGGGGTCAAAGTTGTTAAGTTTCAAAACAAAATTCACCTATTTTTACATCTTTTGCACGATACAGGTTTGTTTATTAAGTTGTGCGCGACACCCAGTGTATGATAATTTACCATACTACCTGGTTGCACAGTTTGAAGTAGATGGGTGGCTGGATGTAGCTCATTGGTTTAAAAGTTTGACTTCCAAGCAATGGTCCAACCTACTTCGACCTGAGAAATGCAATAGTATGATAAGCCCTCGAATAGTGTGTGACTCATAGCTGAGTGCGACCTGCATCGGGTTGGATACATAACAGGTAAAGTGGGATTTAAACCAGGAACTTATTGTCTAAAAGTCGAGTGGAGTTTATAGAAAGTATGTGACTCACTCATAAGTGTTCTTAGCTATATTTTGACATCAAAGTCAGTAAAGATAGTTCTTTAGTTCTTTTACTTACTACACTAACGATAACGCGAAATGCAACATAAAAAAAGCCTTTCTGAATGCTTCTATTTATAAATGTTTGTTCTTCGAGGACAGCTAACAAGGTGTCCAAGGTTCTTTTTAATTCTAGAATTCTATAGCAACGTACATAGTCTCCTTTATATTTTTTCTAGTTCGTACTAAATTTGCGTATTAAATAATTAGTTATAAAATTCATGTTAATAAGAAAACGATTTTTTCAGTGTCAGTAACTAACAACAAAAAATATACGTATTCAGTAATTGCCTTTCATTGATGCTGTTTCATTGGTTTATGTACTTGGATTTCAGCTGACTGGTTGTAGGTTTGATCTGCCAGATAGTGATAAAAACATTCACACAATAGATGTGTTTCAAAGCCCTGTACTCAAACATGCATTTGATTTTCGAGCCACGTCACTTTTTTTCCCTACGCTTAAAATATAATCACTTTTTTCTAGTAACCTGTTTTGAGAAGAAACAATATAGTTTTTCCTCAGGTATCAACTTAATTGAATAATATCCGTAGCAGTAAAGTCTGTGCATATAATTCAATAATTGTTCTAAATTGATAATATGTAATTCTTTATTACATTGTGGAGTGATTAACTGAATTGTAATAATGGTGATAATATCTATTCTCATTTATCCTTTTTGATGTAAAAAAAATATTTTCGTGCATCAGGTTATCAACTTTCACGCCATCAAGATCCAACGGAGTATCAAATGTGTTATACACTTCGTCGTGGTCCCAGTGATCTTTCCAGACTTGGATCAGCTCCAAAATGTTATCAAGTCGGTCGTATATTTTCTGGTTTAGCAATACCACAGCCATCTGACGAGAAAACGTCTCCCACTACTACAACAACAACTGATCAAACAAAAAAGGGGCTGTGATACTGGTCTTGCCATTGCAGACGATTTACTCCCAGTTTATTTGGGGACAACTGTACATTACCGTACTGAAATGCACTATGGCCCAAATAATAAACTGATACCTATTGTAGAAGATTACACTAAGTCTAGTTTATCCTCCAAGAATGGGACACACGAGGTGAGTAGTTCTAGTTATTTTAGGCTCATTTTCTTTTTTTGATGTCATAACATACGGATAACCTTTCTTTTTCGAAGCTCCATGTAGTAAGATTGGTGTTTATTTGTCCTTTTCGGATAGTACCATTAAATGTTTTTCATATTTATTGAGATACTGTCAAAGCAATTGCTACAGGTTGTACAGTTTATGCGTTTTCTGATGTCCTGAATATCCCGAATGTAATGTTCACACTTAATCTTATTTCATACATATAGCATCTCTACTGGTCTTCCTGTTTTTTTTTACTGTTGTCTAGCTGACTGCACTGCTGCGTACAGTTCTTATTTTGTCAGTTCGTAAGTATCAGGTTACACTCTCGAATGTGGTGCTGAAGTAGTAATATATAAACTGATACACTACCGATCCCGGTTGTGTTCGTAGGTGATGGGTTATTGACAAACAAGGTATCTGATGTCTTCAAACAACATACGTAAACACACTTTTAAACCTACGATGAAAATCTTTTACTTTAATGACAACTAAACAGTATTCATCGTGGAATAAGGTATACTGTCTATGCATTTGCATGACCTTTAGAACGCCTCATTTTTTTATGAAGTTAGTTCTGATGATGTCACCACTATTCAAAATCTAACGTGAAAGCTTAAAGAACAAGCAATTATCAGATTTGTTAACTTTCTATAACTAGTACATAAGGTTCTCATTATTCTAGACATTTAAGTCTCTTTTTGTCCAGTGTGAGGTTAACACTCCCAACGGTATGTTTAAGATTAGATAAGTTTACGGTTATGAATATGTTTATTTTATCGTCATTTGAAAACACATCTTTCGCATCATACGGATAGATAATTGAGCGGTGACTAAGCTGGTGTGAAAGGTAACAGAACCAGTAATTTATATTCGTAAACCCCATTGTCAGTAGAAAAAGACATACATTGTTTTGATTGCTTGATGTCAATTTGTGACTCAACATGTTTTAATGTGTGTATTCATGTAGCATTTTCTAAGCCAGTGTTTGTAGTAGTATTCTTAAGAATGTCAGCGGGATTTTAGCATTTGTTTAGTTTTAGGGTGTATATAATTCTAGTTTCTTGCTTTCTGTCAGTCATCAGCGGTGTGTACATCTTATTAGTAAACACCGAATAATGCTTTAAATTGGAGAATTACACTAGTAAGTATCTAATAAGCAGCTATTGAGTATAGTTTTGCTCAAAATGCTTATGTATGTTTACATACAATGCAAAGCTATTGTTCAGAAAATGCCCTTCACGCAGGTAAAAAGCATAAGACTAGTTATCTGACTTTGCAGCTAGGTTAGTAGATTCAAATATTCCACTTAGGAGTTGGAGAGAGTTAGTAGTTTACATAAGTTTCAAGAAACTGGGAGTAAACAGCCTATCTGCTTTAATCTATGCTCGTCAACTGATTTTGTAGGAACTTGTCGTTTTGTTATTGTGTTATCACAAAAATTTCAAAAAGATGATAACTGTCTGCTTTTGTTTAGGTCCTTTGGTAGTATCACAACCTATCAGTGAGTAACTACATTGCTTCCATTTTCAAAATAACAATGCTACTGCGATGCTGATTTGTTTTTGAGTCAATTAAAAAGTCCTATACGTGATACCTTTTGTCACCAATATGCATGTACAAAGTATACCTACAATGCGTATTAAAGTGTTATGGTAATAGTACTCTACTTTTTATTTTTTGTTCCTTTTTGTCAATTACTTTTATTTGTAATGATTAAATGACTCAAGGCACGTGTTTTGTTACTAATGTGGTATTTTTATTTGCTTTAGATTGTGGTAACAATTGATTAATTTTCATCAACTACCTGTTTGACTTTGATCAATAACAATCTAAAAAATTACTTTAGGTGTATGCAAAATACACAGTTCATGGTGAGAAATTTCACGTCTAGTTTTCTCCAGAAATCAAAATATTTATATCATATGTGGTCTACCCGACACCACAAATGATGTTAGGATCGCTGATATTAAAGCTGTACATAATATACTTCTAACTGAAATGGCTATTTTTAGACCACTCATTTCACCCAACAGCACTCACTATCCAAGATAACCTAAACACCGAACGGCCGTTTTGCTAGTTTAGGGTTGAGTGTTGTACCCAGGTCGATTAAGCTCAGAAAACTGAATTGTTCAAATTACTTGAATTTTGTACACTTTTCACGCTGGTCATCTTGATGAAATTTGTGCTCTCAAACAGATCGCATTACTTGATATGAATATTTTATTTTCTGAAGGAAAATACGGTGAAACTTCATACTAGGTATTTTGTGAACACCTAATTTGGTTCCAGGCATAACCTGTCCTCTCAAGTTAGCTCGCCAGAATTCGGATATTTGGATAATGCAGCTCGCCTATCTGAATCGATTTGGGTACACTACTGACAAGCTCACCTTCAAAAGGCGAAATGGGTACTTTGTGTTTAGATCACCTTGGGATGAATAAGGAGAACTTGCTGACTGGTGTTAGTAGTCTGAAATTATTCATTCCACGCAGCAGTGTGTTTTGTACAACTGGCATGTAAAATTCACTAAAATTCGCTAAAATTCCATGCTTACAACAGTGTACTCCCTATTAGGTTATAATACAAGAAGAAATGAGTATCTGAACACTATTTAAATAGATATGTAGAAGGTTAACTTAGTTCACATTGATTTTAGGTATAAAACTGTCGTTTAGTTTGTTGAGTCGATAAAAAAAAACAGTAGACCAATAGTTGGTCACATTATTTGTTGTACCTACGGTTAATTAACTAGTAGTAATTTTTAGTGGATGATGACCAGTGTTAAAAGAGAGATAGAGAGAGAAGGAGCACACTATAATATTCAGACAATTCGCTCGTCTCGATAATTATAAATGTCAGCATCATATCATGTCTGTCTCCAACTTACGCCATTTATATCTTCACCGATATGTCCGATTGTCTAGTACGAGTCGGGTGTACTACGCTACAGTTCATTCTTTTCTACTATGTGACTGTGAAACATGGCTATTAAAGATCGAGGACGTCACAAGGTTTCAGATTTTTAACGACCGTTGCCTTGGTAGCATAGATCGTGTGTCATTACACAATTACGTGAGTAACGCGGAACTGAGGTGTGGATTGCTAGGGAGGAGAGGAAAGTTAGTTGATGCAGTTGTGAACCGTCATCGACTCAGGTGGCCGGGACATTTATTGCGCATGCCCAGCCACCGTCTGCCTCGCCGCACAATGTTGGTTGAAGTACGTCTAGGCTGGAGAAAGGTTAGAGATGGCCAGACTAAGATATAGGATCAATTCGTTCAGTCGTTGACTGCTAGTCTGACCCATGTAGGGAGAGTTCGACTTCCCACTTGGGATCCATACAACAAAAGAAACCAGTGGATGGAGACCCTAGTTAGCGCGGCTCATAATCGATGTCACTGGCGCAGATGTATTCACACACTATCTGAATCTGAATCTTTATAGTGAACACAATATTTTCTTATTCCTCCGTTTTCTCTTTCATTACCTTCTGCTTCTAACCGATTCTTACTTCTTTCTTCATCTTTCATGTTACTGCTTTGCTACTTGGTTCGCTGAAATGAGTTATGGTAATTTGGACCGTTACGGAGTAATGCCTGACCATATTTTGATGATGATGAAGTAGTCGGACAGTTCAAACTTTTTCTGTAACGCCTCTATCTGAAAATATTGCAGCTGTTTTTGATCTTACGCTGAAATCAGTTCTATCTATGCTTTTCTTATTAGTCAGGTAGTTTTGTTAACCTGCTGTGAAACAAGTAGCCTGATGGGAATGTTCGTTATTCTCATTTCCTATTAGCTCGAAAGCAACGTACATATTTATAAAATGTGAGGTTTATTTATTTTACCAAGGTTATCAAAATGACCTACTACTGATTTCACTGTCGATGAAACTATCCAAAATCTATAATTCCTTTTAGGATAAAATTTAAATGCCTAGATTTCTAAACTGCAGCTTAGGGTCTTTTGTAGCCGACTGGTAAGATGAAATTTTAAGGTTGTACCATTTCACATCTATGATCAGTATTTTTGTGTTGTAAGTAGTTTAAATTTGGGTTTTTGTTCCATATAATTAAGTAATTTTTCAAGTCTGTAGACACGTTCAGTAAAATGAGCGTTTACAGAGTTGTCATTATTGATTAATAATGTGCGGTTAGCATCTAAAAGCTCTACGAGTCATAATATGTATGTCTGCTGATTTTTTACTGAACAGCAATCAATCCTACATTGTCCAACGGTAAGTTTGCAAGCTGTGTGAATTGGCGTCATAGTGCTCTGTTTTTCACATTGATCAGATATGCAACACATGAATTTCTGTCAATTAATTCCAACCTTTCAACAACACATTATGTGTCTAAAATTAGACACTTACCTCAGTGTTCAGTGTTTACTTATTTGGGTCATAGTTTTCGTAAGTCATTTTCTCTGAATCATATTAAATGTTCTTTCTGTTTTTGATATTATGATTATATTTTACTCCTTGCAGATATTTGATTCGGATGGTAAACAAAGTGTTAACTTTCACGCTCTACAGAATACTAAGAAATCACAAAAACATGTTCGTGTCTCAGACACACCTGTCAAACCGGTTAGCAATCAAGCTGCTGACTTGATCAGGTTTGAACAGTCCAAACTACCATGGTACGCGTCTTTGGATTGTGCATAAATTGCATCTTTTTATTATACGTTTGTTAACTATGCCTGTGTATATATATTCTTGTGTATCCAAATGTTTTCTCTTTTCCTACATTCTCGTTTCTATGCAGTCGAGTAAAGCCAGCCTTCGCATTTGAACAATATGAAGCTGAGCCTGATGAATATTTTGATCCAGCGAGTCAGTTACTGAGCAAGAAATCAGCTGAGCGAGTAAGTCACTGTTATTAATTCCACTTTTGGTTAATCGTCTGTAAAATTGCCGGTCACTTATTTAAAAGTCAATGAAAGCGAAGGATATCTGTTGTATTAACTTTTCTTCGGATTACCTACTTATCATAGCTTATTGTCAAACAGATGCAATTGTCAATGGAATATGAACCTGGAAATGCAAGTAGACTGATTTAGGTATGTAAGTGATGGAATATATCGCGATAGGTTGATTGCGATTAAAAATGGAGCTTAAAACGAAGGATTCATCATGACAAATATGAGCAAATTGTACGGGAAAAGGAAAAAATATCTTGACAATCATGTATTTGATCAAATTTTCTAAATATTATTGCGCAAACGCATCACACTTTTTGGGTAGACTCTTCTTACATCATAGAAGAGTGAAAGTTTGGTATTTGGATTGTAGAATGTAAGTCTTCATACTTTTTAACTCAGTGAATGAGTTGGCGTCAGTCTAGACACTAATTCAATAAACGATATGGTTTTAGCATAATTTAGGCTCTATCAATGTACTAGTTTCGTATTCCGCTTTAGTTAGTTTTATACAGTCGGTCAGTTCCCGTCCATACGACACTTATTATTTTTACAGATTGTTTTCTTAGCGTATTGGGAATATTTTGTATTGTGATAACGGTCGATAGTTAATAACACGCTGATAAAGGCTGCAGAATGCTGCATTTATGTACGTAGTGAATTATACAAGATTATTGTTGGTCTCATTAATTTTTTGTAAAGATTTTAACGTTTAGATTGAAGTATAAAGAAAGCTATAAATGTAATTCGTATAGAAAGGGCATCTGATAGATGCCTGAACACTTTCTCGTTCACAGTGTATTGTTGCTGTATATATAATGTAAGAAATCACTCCTAGCTACAGGGTTTTATTTTTTCGCGAGTTCAACGTGTTTCAGTGTAATATAATCGCCGAATTTCAGCTACCGAATCATAAACGGATGGACACAAGTCACTTAAAAACATGGCACAGTTCAAATTATCACACTTTACAGCAGAGCCCAAAGAAGTGAATAGAAAGACAATGATAGTGAAGTTGACATAAGTTCAGTGAGGACGAGGAATAGATCGAAGATCATAAGGATTGTATACAACTTTGCCAATAAGTTAATGAATTAATGCGACTTCAGCCCAGTACATGTTCATCTACTAGGTTATGAGTCGAACACTTTGTCAAGCGTTGTTTGAACGTATGATACGTTGGTCGAAAATCGAACACTGAAGTTGGCAAGCCACATCGACACCATGACGGTTGATTTAGATCTATATCATAAAGAGTCTCCAAGCAAGTAATTCCTTATTTCTAAGAGACCATAGCTAGATAGATGGTCTATATCTCCCCACACAGTTCACACCGGGAGCGATGGTCTACATCTAGCTAACTTCCAAAGTGATGTTAATTCTGCCAACGTTGTACATCGAGTTGATGGCGATTGGTTGATTTGGTTGGGTTTTGTTACAGCAACACTATCTCATACGTTACAATCGGATAGATACACAAGAAGTCGATTCCGAGACACTTTAATCTGTTCGCCAACCGAAACACTAGTAAGTGAGTATCAGTCAAAACAGGAAGAAACTGAACACGTTTGCTTGTATGCCGAATTAAGGGTGAACAGAGCAAAAGTTCATGTCTGTGTATAGATGTTTGTTAGGTGAATTTATAGACTAGCTATTTTGAGAGTTCATAGAATCAAATTTCCTAAACGGTGTTGTTAAAATCATTTGATTTTCCGGCTTTTGCAAGTCAAATTTCCAGTATTTCTCAACACTAAGCATGCTCAAAAAATGTTCAAGCCAAAAAAAATCAGCAAAGGTTCTCAACCTCATCAACTGATTTGTTTTTTTGTAATCCTTTTTTATATTTCCACTCAAGAAGAATGTGAATAACAACACACACGTCACAATTCTCAGCCACCTGAGTCCTTGAAGTTTCACAGCCTGATTGATTGAATTTCCTCTTCTCCCTAAAATTCAACACTTGGCTTCCGCACTACTAACGTACTAGCACCACGATACACGACCTGTACTGCGAAGGCAAAAGTGGTCGAACAGCAGAAGCCTTCGCATGTCCCCTACGTTTAATAGTCATGTTTCACAGCCATACAAAGCAACTTAAAAAGCAGTACACTCGACCCTTGATAGACAATCGGATATCAGTTGGTGGAAGAATAGAGAGGTTTATATACTTTTTAAAAAATAAACTGGTCTGACCTAATTAAACAAACCTGCAGATACTAGTTGATGAATACTGAATACTTCACGGCAACCACGTTTGTTGTAACAGCATTCATCAGTTAGTATTTGCAGGTTTGTTGAAGTAAGTGAGATCAGTTTATTTTTAAAGTCGGACATCGTAGTGGTGCCGTAGATGGCGTGATCTGATGACAGCCAATCGAGCGGTTTGTGGTGTAGATTTCGTCGGTCACAACCCCCCTCCCCCCCCGCCCCCGGGAATGATCCAACTCCCCAAGTAGGCAAAGTTATCAACGTGCTCAACCATTTCACTCTCGGCTGCTAACGTAGGCACTAGCAAAGAGCAGTCCTGGAGCAACAATTTGCATATGGACGGTGAGAAACGCATCCCAAGCATTCTCAAATTGTAATTCAAAGTGCCTAGAAGATTTTATATCTTGTGGAAATTTCCACCTTCAATGACTATCATCTGCACACTTCAGGTCTACTAAGTAGTTTCCTGTAACACGATTGATCCATGTAAAGTTAACCAAGAGCAGCCTGATTTGAAGGGATGCGAAACAAAAGAGAACTCGGAAACTGTTTCTTTCCTGATCCATTCATACTTATAGTCAGAAACATCTAGACACATTTCGGTAGTTTGCCTAAGATTCCTTTGTTGTTCTAGTTGCAGTAGTGTCAGTTTTCATGGTTCCTATGCGTAGTTCGCTTGATTTAACTATTAATTCGTATATCTGTTATCACGCTCATGGTTCTTGTAGGTAGCGCGACGATTCAAACACACGGGAATACTTGAAACACAAGAAGAACGGGTGATTCATCTCATGATGAAGATGACGATCATTGTGAAGAAAGATCAACTGGAAGTGAATCAGATATCAATGAATCTTCAAATATTACTGACAAAGATGTATATCATCCTAAACAAGAAGGTGAAATAAATGAACAAAATTATGCTCTCAGTGAAATTGATTTACATGGATTAATAAAAAATCTCCGATCTCTGTGTACTAGTTCACCGAAGGACAAAGAATCTGGAAGTGAGGATGAAGATATAATCAACAACCAAGTACCTCTTCAATTACCTTTTAGTACGTTTGGTGTTAGTGGGGCTCGATTAACACATCTTTTTGCTGAGCTTCGTGAACGAGCTAATCTTGATCTCTTTCAAGTACCACAGACTACTAACAATTTAAATCCTGTTTCTGGGAGTAGTGGAAGTAATACCACTAGCAACCCAGCTCAGTCTTCTTTATTTGATGCAGATGCTTTAGCTGATGAGTTGGAACGACATGAAAGAATGCTAAAGGAATTCGATGATTTCTTATCAGATTTTCAAAATATTGAACCATTCGGTATTGTTCGTCCAGCTGTACCAACTGAGGCTGCTAGACAACAGCCTAGTGGCTGTGTTACTGTTGTCGGTAGTAATAATGTTACTACTGCTACAGCTCTACTGACAACACGAACACCTCATCCTGTTAGTGAAATGTAATTAGGCTTAAATATAAAAACAGCGAACACTTTTAAGTGATGATATTTTAGCGGGTATTTTACAGAAGACTTCATATATATATATGATTGTCTTTTCAGAGTTTATTTCCTTCATTTCTCGAGATAATCAGTGCTTTGTAAACTATAATTTTCAGTTATTAATTTGCGTTCATTTCTTATCTGTCTCTTACTTATCAGTTATTGTGTAAATTATTTGATTAAAAATCCGTATTCTCTATTTCCTTGCCTGCGATTTCGTTTGAAAATGTGTTTGTTAATTGGCATCAACTACTGTAAGATATCTTTTTACCATTATTAAGATATTGTTTAGGTGGACATGTCATTTTAGGCTGGTTTAGGATCCAGTTTAAAGAAGCTTTGCTGAAGCCAGATCAAAACTTTGCCGAAATCTAAGACCTACTTTCAGTGTGGGTTGTGTGGATACCAGTATTTTTTCTAGCGACTTTTAGCTAATTATTTTCACTTTTTACTCAAATATCCGAATAACTTATTCTTTTTTTACCTAATAACTCAGGCTATGGAGTAAATAGTAAGTAGGGCGGGTGCTGGTTTGAAATGATCATACATATCTTTCCATAGATAAATTCATGCTTCATCGAGTTTCAAAAATATCAAAAGATAATGTCTTGTTTCTGATTTGGAAGAACGTCTTAGTGAGCTAAGGTAGAGCACTGTTTCGTTATGTAATTTCTTGAACAATTGAGTATATTGTTTCGTAGAGTTATCCGAACCAAGCAGCAGCAAACTTTGAAATGCAAGGCGAGAGAACGTTTACTTAGTGAATTATCATTTGAAATATTGACTTGTGCTTGGGTCGCTTTCTCTGAATGCTTTTCCAGTTCGTCCTCTATGACAGTGAATGCACAGCCGTTTTCAGTTTACACTATTCCAGTTGCTGCCATATAGTGCTGCTATTTTCTTACAGCCTAGTGATTGTCTGTGGTTATCAGTCACTCATTTGAGCTCGCATAATAAGTTTGATGAGTCACATTACGCCTATTTCCCTTAATTTTCGATGTTAAGCGTAAGTGCATAGTATTTTTAGAAGTGTCCCATGTAATTGTAGGATTGTATTAACTCTTCAATATTTTCGACGGATAGTTTGTTCAATTTCAAATGAAGCTGTCACAACTAGTACGCATTTTTTGACTTTCATATGTACTGGTTCAGTGATCGATATTTAGTCGTTATTCTGGATAGTATAGTGAAAAAATACAACAAAGGAAGACGTGATTTTATGATTCTTCTGAGGATTGTCAAGGGACAAATACTTTCACTGATTCTTATTAATTATCAGCGAAACTGCATCATATTGCACCCTAAACTTATTAAAAATGTTAATTTAACTTCAGTTCTCATCAATCTGGAATGAATACTTCAGGGTGTTTTGTGTGCTAATGTATAGTTTCTAACTTTCCTGATATCTGACGGGCTACCTTGTGTTGAGGTGAGCTAATCGTGTATAGTGTGTCACATGGGAACATTCTGCTTATCAATCTTCGTCTGACCGTATATATGATATCGTCAAGGCTTTAGATCATTTTATATGGAGTTTTCAATCAGTTTTTTTGAAAGCTGTCTGAGCATATCTGTGATACGTTTTTTTATTCAATCATTCTTATATTGACTGCAATTTTTCTTTATGAATTTCTTTGTGAATTAACTATATGTTCATGATTTAATCTACTTTGTTAGTCAACACACCACCTGGGCATTTATCTAGTTGCTGTATCACTATGTTGTCATTTTTCTTTAGGTTTCTTAGTGCTATTTGGACAAAGTTTTCTCCTGAGGGTTAGGTAAACTAAGGTAATCGTTTGTAGTATTGACCAGCTTAGATTCAAAGCGGCTCTTTTCGTTGTCATTCATCGGACGCAAGTCTGTCAGTGAGCAGTATAAATTTTGAATTAAGCCTGTGTCTCCATTTCGCTAGTAATTCTACTAGGGACATGAAACTTTAATCCTAGGGAAAGTGCTACAGTTTCGATTGGATTTAATTTTACACTTGTCTCATTAAAGAAGTATTTCCCAGGATTTTATGGGAAACTATCACACAATTTCTCTTTGATCAAGGTCTTTAAGAGGGTCTCATAAGAACTGTTGCATGTTTTGCTCTGGAGATCCTGGATAAAATTGATGAATTTTATCCAAAACATGACGGTTAAACTTTCAACCAGTACTTCAAAAGTGCCAGTCACTGTTCTTAAATTGGCGAAATGTTTTTTGATTTAGTTTAAGATTTAGTGACGTGTGGAAAATTCCCTAGAGGTAATTAACACACTTAGTGAATAAATGAGTTAATGAGAAAAGCATCTGAAGCTTAGGTGTTCATCGCTAAACTCCAGTCGAGTTACTTCTCTAGATATTCTACAACATATTCTCACTTAGCGATTCAGCATCGTAAACAATTCTGTAGGTAGAAGTCCTTTTTGGAAATCTCATGCAAAAATTCCTATTTGGGAACCTGAATAGAGGAAGAACAACGATTGGAGTAGAGTAACATGGTACCATTTTGTTTTATTGGTTTCTCGTCAGCTGCCTAATGATTCAAGATTAGTAGGTGTAAGTCCCCTTCAAGAAATTGGATGGAAAACTTTGAAATATATGATTATATGTTTACCTGTCAAGGTACTTAGCATGAGAAATCTAAATCGAGTAGAAAGCGTTCAATAAGGTGGTGTACCTACTTGGTACCGTTTTTAGTGAGAGACATTGCCGCATAACTTTTCGGTTGACGGAGTCTAATACCACCTTCAGGTTGAGAAATATAGCTTTTGTTGGGTTTCGGTGGGCGTGCCTGTGTTGCAGAACCTGGCGGAGTGAATATTTGGTCGATACACCCACGGCTGAGTCTGAGGCCTGCCTGGTTTTCTCGGGCTTGCTGTCTCCGAGCTCCACTCAGGCGTCTAATGATTTCGGAATCTAGAACCTTTGACATTATGTTCGTCAGGCTGATTTCTCTGTGATAATTTCAATAGGACTTCTCGCCTTTCTTGAAGACTGGAATAATCAGTGATTGGCACCAGTCAGAAGGGATCATATTTGACTCCCACAGACTAGTTAACACTTCAATTAACTTGATTAGAAATACTCTACTACCGTCAATATATAATTCAGGAACTGGTTCGTCTGGTCCTACTGCTCTTCCTCGTTTCAAGTTACCTACCGCTTTCTCGACTGCAAGTGTTCAGAAGCCTTTCTCAATTTTCGATTCAGATTCCGACTGGAGAGCGGGCAACAGAATAGTAGCTGGAGGCCTTTTGAATTGTTCCTCGAAGTGTTGTGCCCATCGTTCCAGTCGTCCTTTCTGTGAGTGAATCGCAGACCCATCCTTCTCCACTACAGTTTCACTAACCGTTGTTTTTTTCGTCCCAGTTTCCTCAATAAGTTTAAATAATTATCTGCTGTTGTCATCTATTGAAAAGTGTATAGGCTGTTACAGTATCAGTTGCGTTCATCATGACAATAAGTTGTTATGTAGCGATTCAAGATGGATGTTTGCTACTTGTGGTTATTGATGCTAGATAATGTAACCGCTTTGTAGCTATATAAATATATATTTTCCCGTCACATTCAGGTGCTTATCTGGATTAGGCATACCCATGGATACGTTCGCATACGACCGTGTTAAGTAAGAAACTTTGGAGGAGATGAGGTGATGGCTTATGTGCTGATGCAGAAAATATTTCAGCAAGCGTTTTTGATATCCTATGATAAGCTCAGCTAAATGATACGTTTTGCTAATGTTAAACTCTAACCTATGTTTCAAAATTATACTACTTGCTTCCTCTTTTTGCTGTAGAGGAAAGAAGCATGGGATGAATTCCAATCTCCCTTAACTTCTACAACGGTTTACTGGATTTAGTAAATTTCCATTTTTTTTATATCAATGTATGCTATAGCTGCCATACTGATGATTTGGATTCTCTTAAATAAACAATTCATCGAACTTTGTTTGTCCCTCATTGGAATATGCTCACCAAACCTGAATATTGCTTATTCAAATATGTTTCGTGTAAATTGATCACCTTATCGAATCGTCTTTCCTCCTTTCAATTCAGAGATATATCCAACAGCGACAGTTGATTATCCAGTTCTGATTAACATATCAAATGTATGTGATCGTGTCTTGTTTTGAGTCTCTGAAACAGATGTACCACTTATTGATGTTCGCTACTTATTACAATTACACCTTCGAAATCACATAAGTAAGTTCAGCATTCAAAACACGCCGGGAGGCTTGCTTATGTAATGATTAAATCAGATTGGGCACTCAACTTCTTCCAGGAGATTCGTAGCAACTATGGCCCAGATGATTATATATCTTCGGAATGCCTGTTATTAAGAGTAATCATTGAAATCAGATTGCTAGTTGGGGTATTAACATATAACGGATAAATATCAGTTATTAAATGTCCTGAGATATTTCTCATATTCGAAAAATCGAATTGCTGAAAATGTTCACCTTTAAATATGAAACGAAATTTATCATTCTTAACAAATGGCACTTTTAGATGTATCTGAAGGACACGATACCTGCATAAAACATAATTTAGAAAATCAGAAACTATTTGTCGACAGATGTGTTAGAGTTGAGGGACACGAGTGTCCATTGGCTCTGCGCTGCTGAACATTTATACTAGTATCTATCTGATAGCTGTTTAGTGAAAGTGCCTCGTTTCTGTGGAGTGTTGTCGTCCTTGCAAATAAAATGCTTCAAACGCTTTAAGTTGGTTTATGAGGAGTTGAACCCTAAAACGAACATGAATTCTACTGATGTTGCAGTTGCGTATTTTAAAAAAGTTAACTCGTAAAACTTGAATTTATCGGTGACTTTTCTCAAAGAGTAACATTCGTTCTGCTTTCCCTAACTTTAGGTATTTATCAAGGTGGCCAATCGGTGAAGCAAACCATTTTAACTAGTTCGTCTCAAACTTTTAGTAGAATGCAAACTTATCTTTCAATAGCTGTAACACATTT